CTTTTCATTCATGCATTGAGAAATACAAAAACCTTTATTATAATGACTGTTTGTAGTTGTCTGTAAAACTCTTCCTTCTTCTCTTGTTCCGCGTTGCTTTTAGTAATGTGCGTAGCATTGAATAATTGTAACCTTCCTTCCGTTTGAGTTGAATCTTGCTGCCAGAATCCTGCAGGACGAAATTGGTTCCCACTGCATTATGGCTTTGGCTGCCACTGGTGACATCATGATAGCCATTCACTTCCTCAGTGTGCTCGTGGTATCGTCTGGATGACCAGACCGGAGTAGATTACTGATTCTCCAGTTGACAATTTTGACAGTCCACATCCATTCCATCTGCTTTCGCAGATACCCAGCACTTCCATGCCATATCTTCACATTTCATCGGCTAACTCGGCTGCCTTCTCAATCAGCCTCGAACATTGCAGGGACATTTCACGTCTCCATTCCGATTCTCGCTTGCATCGAGAGAAGACACATCGACTGGATGATTGGCTTCCTGAAATCTTTCACCGAACCGGGTCGCATCATTTCGACTCTACGATTCGAACGAAGAGTAAGATTGTTGTTATTTGAATTTTTTGTATTTTCAAAATATTTTTTGTGCTTTGAAGTTTCTCTAGCAGTTTGATAGGTTTAATGGTGTGGGATTGATATCGCCACACTCGACCATCCGTCCTTAAACGGGATTGTGATCGGCTAGAAAGCTAGCGAGCCTGTTACTTAGACGAGGTTATTCGAGTGGGATTCACGTCAAATTTCATATATAAACACCTACAAACAAATGTGGAAATTGAGAGACAGAACAAATCCACATTGGTGACAACCGCAATGAAACAATAAGCTCAATGCTCTACTCAAAATAATTTCATTGATTTCAACTTTCAGTAGAAGCATACATGTAAATGTCTATCAAAACGACACGATGGAATATACTACTGACCGATATCTACAGTTGAATATGACTCACGTCAGTCAAAGTGGGAATGACAAGTTTTCTTCTCAACACTAACCAACCTCGACTATTCTCCTATTCTACTTCTGACAGTGTTTGTACAAAATGTGCAACACCACCAATGACGAATCACCAATGAATTCAGTTTCTAAACAGTGTGCAATCAGCTCACCGAAAATTAGATCGGATTGGAAACTGATCACTTTCATTGTGACGTGGTCGACCAACTGTGTCAATGTAAGTACGCAGTTCTCTAAATATTTGGAGCATCTACCGATGTGATTGAGGATATTACGACTCATGAATTTCTACCAATGCATCGATCTTTTGCTATCCTTGACTGTCTCTCTCACTATCCAGTAAATGCATCTAACCAACTCACGAAATTCTAACCAGTGTGAAGAAATTGTCATGGACACAGGCTGTTTATTCACTCACTCGGAAAATCTAGCCACTTATCACCAGGCGAGAAAGGAATAATTATGTGTTTCATTAAACCAGTCGAGGTTTCGAGATCATTTTTTCTACTTGTAAAGTATAATTTGGAGGATGGATGTCGAAACTGCTTGTTTGTCTATAAATATCAATATAGAAAATTTTGGTCGTTCTGTTTTACACATTCTTTAATCCTTTCCAACGAAATTCACAAAAATCAGTTGAATAATCTGTCCACTTGCCTACACGAACACAGACTGACACTCGTATGAGAAGAGATCTGTCTCACTACACATCTGATGGATTACACTACCAGTATATTCGGATGGACTATCGGGATCATCGTGATAGTCGCAATACTCGTTAAAATTTATATATGTGTTTATTATGGATGATAGCTAACCTGTTTGTTTGTACACTGAGAAAGTAGGGCAGTCAAACTGAGGAGGGTGCTGCCAGTATTAGGCGAAATGTATTTGTAGATAAATCATCAAATACTTCACCACACTGATCCACAAATGTTCTCATATTGATCGTTCTAATTCCTGGATTTGTGTTGCATCTTACAGGAGGAGTGAGAACAGTATCACTTATCCATATTTAGGTATTCTATCCCTCACAATAACCCTAATCTTTCCTGAATCTAACCATAACATGAAAATATCCCTAAACTAGCTGTAATATTAGTCGAACCAACGTTAGTTTCGCCTTCTTCAGGTTAACCTAACCCTAACTTGTCCTTAGCTCAAAGCGTAA